CCCTTTCTTGAGTTTCTGGCTTGGTCTTTCTAAATTCCCCTCACCTCCACGTGGAATTTATGGACTCAGTTGAGAAGAAATAAAAAGTGACCAATTATGAGCCTGGATGGAAAGAGCTTTTTCTGTCCATGGAGAATAAACATTATGCCACTAACACACTGAGTTTCTTGGTATCAGCAGTTCATAGAAATGATCAAACAACTGCTAGAGCAACTATAACCAGCTACCACTGTGCCACACAGACCAGCCAATTTGTTTCAAGTGCCCTCATCACCACAGAAGCAAAGATAAACATAAACTGAAATACAGCTAAATAAAAATATTAATATATCTCCTGGCAACTTACCTCCAGCACACTTTAAAAGACCCTTAAAACCTTTATGCAGCACAATGCAATTTATTACCTGCCTCTCTCCAAGCTGTCTGACAATGTAGCTCTTCTACATTTTTGGAAGCAAAAAATGCTTCAGCTGCTTGACACCGAAAATAACGGTAATTCACAAAGTCTTGCCTTTTAATTTGCCAAGCACTGGACATGTGCTTTCTTACAAAGATGATGACTCAGGTTTTCTCTGGTTTATTTTGAAAACGGAGCAATCGGGAAACAAAGCGTGGCCTCAGCAGCAAAATATTGCTTTTGTAAAAGAAAAAAAAAAAAAAAGCAGCAGTCGAGTGAGTAACGGCAAATACCTGTGGGGGGAAAAAAATGGGAGCGTACTTGGGAAATACGCTTTCGATTGGCACCAAAGAGCTTTGCAAGGGGGCTGGCTTGATGCTGCCTTCACATTTCACAACGTTTTGGTAGTAGCTGGTGCTCTGATATCCGCAACTACTGGTAACATTTCATAATATGACAATCTAAGAGGTGAAATAGCTTTTGTATTTTAAAATTCATTATGAACAGCTGCAACTTAGCGCTGATGGATACATCCTCACTTTACTAAATCAATGTCTCCTTTGTTGAGTTATATGAAGCCGTTTGCCATGCCAAGAGAGGCTAAAAAAAAAGGAAAAAAAAGGTAAAATAAAGGAGATTTAAAATCTGTTGAGTACATTATATGTCAGCATTAGCTGTCATATGAAGAAGTAATGAAACAACTAGAAATATCACATGCACAAGTGAAAGAGTAAAATAAAAACAGAATTAGCATTTGAAGTGACAGTTCTGAAATGCTAGAAAAGCTTATCTCAAAACTGCATGTTTCTGGGTGGGAGAAGGATTTCTAGGACATGCTTTTTCCCTAACTGAATTTTCCAAGAGTCCCAAGTGTTATTTGCCTTCTAGTTCTGTAGTGTCAATATGGATTTCTCATACTAATTTCCACATAGCCTGCCTCTACAGTGAAAACATCTTGTGTTTAGAAAACATATTAAGACATTTTAAGAACATGTTTATTACATTTAAACTAAAAGTAAAAGCGTACGTGGAGAAAAAGTTATTTTCTTAAAAAGATGCCAGGTGGTCAGCCTTAGGGTTAACCCACGGAAGCTTGTTTTAAACAACGTTTTTTAAAAAATCTTTTTTAGATGCCTATACTGAATCCTGAGAAGCAACATGCCCAGTGGATTTTCTTTTTTGTTTTTTGGGGAGTATTTCAGTTTAGTTTGTAGTGAAGCCTCATGATGAAACACCTACCAAGACACACCAAGCCATGAAGGTTTAGGTGGCTGTAAGTGAAATAACCACTTAGAGAGGCTACAGGAGTACTAAAATGTGGTAACGAGAACTACCTTCATTATAAACCAACTAATTCCTGGAGAAGGTTTTTTGGTTTTGTTTTTTTAACCTGGGATGCTAATTCTGTGGCATATGAACTGATCTTCAAGTATGCACAAGGAAGGATAATCCTTAGCGAGGCCAGTCTATTATTAGTGTTTTGTGGGTGTTACATCTTCTTTACTGACAGCAGTAATAAAATATTCTCCAAATGCGGACGGGACCTATATGAGAATCAGCCTCAAATCTTGAGTCCTAGGGGAGAATGCAGAATGTTGTCTATGCCTGCACAGAGCTCTCATCGGAATAAACCTCTGATTAGTGATGTGGAGGGTGGAGTAGATGTAAATTTAATGTTACATGCCAACTCACATTAGACAACCTTGTGCAACTCTGGCAGTTATGGAATGCAGTTTGATTACCTTATCTAACTTGAGAGCTTGAACAATAGGATTTAAACTTCTGGAATACAACTGACTAGGCTAAATGTTATTTTTAGGAATGTAAACAGATAGATAAGTTAACATGTGTGTGATTAACTTACATGTATAGGTCATACAGGTGTATATATACCTTCTGTGTGTATCTTCCCAATTATAGCAACTGCAGCACTCTAAACACCTCACTTGCTACTCTGAATTCCCCTTGGCTGCTGAGGTGCTTCCAGTTGATGTGCGTAATATGGATGCTCCGTATACATTTTTCCCCTCCAACCTAACTGTGAGTTCTTTATGTCCTTTATACTTACTATTAGTATACTGGGCAGCATATTCTTCTCCAAGTCTGTCAACATAGTTCACCTCCTGTAATCAGAAAATGGTGATTAAATGAACATCCAAGTACAGAAGCTGTCAACCTGGTGTTCATCTTTTTTTAAAGTTAAAAAATATTCAACTACTGTTTGCACTCATATGGCTCTGAAAAGGTCTTAAAAAAGGGGGCTTCATCTCTTCTACAATCTTTAGACAGAATCAAGATCAAAGGTAAATGTCAATCGTGTAACTTTTAGCATTTATGGGAGCAATAAAGGAAAAAAACAATCTCTCTAGAAAACGTGTATGCTGCAAGCCCTGCAGTTCTCTGTATTCTAGCATAGGTTGTAATAGCCCCTAAAAGGACCCTGTCTGGGGCATTTAGATCTTAACTGCAAGGTCTTGTTCCTTTTCGCTATCTGTTTCAGCATCTGGTCCATCTCATGGGAAGGTCTCTGAGATTCTGTTTCAGAATTGGGTTGCAGATAGAGTAGGGCGGGGAAAAAAACCACCTTATTTATATCCTCTTTACATGCATAGGAAAACAAAATTTCCAGAATTTTACATATCTGCCATCGACCTAACAGAGAATATAACCCGCTCCCAAACTACAGAGCGAGCACAACTTCTGTAGTGTGTGCAACAACTTTGACCTCCACGTAATTACTCCAGGCTTACATCAATGTAACTGTGCCGGGTTTCTCTTCAATTATTTCCCGGGAGTGGCAGACTCTCTTCCCGCATTGCTTATTTATTTCAAACTGGCCTAAGTTGCTCAACAGTTTGGGCATCCCTTCTTTGGGATCCCACGTTTCTCCGAACGGAGAGAGCTGAGGCTGCCCCGGACGCCCCGTCCCTGGCCGTCGGTCTCGGTCACGGCGCTCGGCGCTGCCCAGCACCAGCAGACACCGAGCCCCCCCAGAGGTAACTGCCCCCACGGCTGGGGCCCGGCGCTGAACAATTGCCTACGGATGAGTAAGCAGCAAATGTGGTAACTCAGGCCAGCAGCTCTACAATTAGGGCTATAATTTCAGGTGTAGCCAGCAGTCGTAATGAATATTTATTTAAACGTACCAAATAAAAGAAATCGCCCGGCTAAGTGGCATGGGGAGCTCCGCGGGGTAGTTTGGTTTGGGTAGTGAGGGTGCTACCGGCAGGGAGCCGCTTCGTCCCCTCCTGTCGCGTCCCGAGTGGGACAGGCTCCCTCTCCCCGCGGCGCGCGGCCGTAGGCTTATGCCCTCATTCCTGCCCGAGCCCAGCCTGGCCAAGGACCCTTCCAGGGAAGGAAGGGTAAGGCAGTGTGCAGCCAGCCGAGCTCCCCGGGGGAGAGCCGGGCGGCGGTACGGAGCGCCCCGCCGGCGCGCACGGGGCGGGGGGCGCGGAGCCGGCGGGGGAGAGCTGAGCCAGAGTTCCGCGCCCCCGCCCGCGCTGGGCTGCTTCGGGGCTCCCCTCTGCCAAAGCCCCCGCAAAGTGGCCTTATTGGGTCAGGGAGCTCCGCACCGCGGCGCGGTTGCGGGAACCCCTTCGGGGTTTGCCCCGTCGCTGAGGAGGGCAGCTGAGCAGAGCCCAGGAGCGTCGGGAGGCAGCGGCGGCACGGGGGGGCCGAGGGCCCTCCGGCTGCCCTTAGGTCGGCAGCCCCAGAGAGTGAGAGGGCGGCCCGGAGCGCCCGTCAGCCCCCGAGTCCTTATTTCTCCCTCTCCGCAGCCAACCTCGCCGGCGCTCCCGCAAGCCAAGCGAGCGCCGCGACTACTAACTGGCTCTTCCCGGGCGGACTCCAAGCCGCACGGATGCAAAGCCCCGAGCGTCCGCCTCCTCCCGAGCCCCTCGACCGAAATCCAGGCGCCCGACTAAAGGTGCGAGGTTGGCGGCAGGCGATGCCGCGGCGGTACGACAGGCGGGGAACGGGGCCGGGTCCTCCGCCCGCTCCCCGGCAGCATCCTATCGAGGTCTGAGCCGTGCTGTGGACAAGCACAGTCTGAGTCTTTTGGGTGTTTGGTATTTTTGTTTGTTTTGTTTCGCTTCTCCGGTTTGGATTTTTTTTTTTGTTTTGTTTTTTTTTGTGTTTTTTTGGGGGGGTCTATGCTTTTAAGTTACTGTGGAATGAGGAGGTGCGAGGCGTCGCAGCTGCTCGGTGGCGGTCCATCCCTGATGAAAGAGCCGCTCCGCACACGGAGTGCTTTCTATTTCGGGAATGGGGAGGTGGGACGGGCGCCGGGGGTGGCGGAGGGATCCCTCCGGCCAGGGGCGCACCTGCCCCGAGGTCCCCCGCCGCGCCCGGCGCCCGTGAGCGCTGCTCGACGGGACGGACCCGAGGTGAGCGGCGGGCGCGGTAAGTACCGCTCCCTTCCCCGCGGTACCCCCGTAGCGCGTCTCAGCCTCCTCCCCATCCATGCCAACCCCTCCCGCCCCTTCCCCGCCGCCGCCACTGGGAGCGCGGCCCCTTTAAGAGCCCGGCTTTGCCTCCCGGTAGCTGAAGGTCATTAAAACACAAAAGCGCTCCAGCGCTGCGGTCCAATATAGCGCATGCGCCCTGCCCGAGGACTGGCAGGGAGACGGCAATATGGCGAGAATGCCTGGCAGCGGCGGCGGCGGCGGAGAGTGGAGCGGCGGCGGCGGAGGGGGCGGCGGGCGCGGTGGAGGCGGCGGGAACAATGCGGGGGACCGGCCGTCCGGCCGCGGCGTCGCCCCCCGCCCGCACCGCTACTGCAGCGCCGGCGAGGAGGAGGAGGGCGAGGAGGAGGATGAGATCCAGGAGGTGCAGATAACGGGGGACGAGGAGGAGGAGGACGGAGCCGATGGGGGGCTGCTGCTGGACGAGGAGGAGGAGGAAGAGGAGATGGGTCTGGAGTGGGACGGCGAGGAGGAGACGGAGCCGCTGCCGCCCGCTCCGGGCCGTACGCCGGGCGGCGGCAGCAGCGGCGTCGGGGCTGCCCCGGGGGGCGCCGCGGCGGCTGCCCCGGGGGGCGGCGGCGGCGGTGGCCCCGGGGGGGCGGCGGAGGACGCGGAGCTGGAGGCGGCTCTACTGCTGCAGCGGCCGGAGCGGGCGCGGCTGAGCGAGAACACGCGGCTGGCCACCCGCTACGCCGTGCGCATCTTCCGCGAGTACCTGAGCGAGAAGGCGCAGAGCCCCGACTTCGAGACGATGGACAAGGGGGCGCTCTGCCGGGTCCTGCGCTCCTTCTACGCCGAGGCGCGCTCCAAGAGCGGGCAGCTCTACTCCAAGTCCTCCCTCATCAGCATCCGCAGCTCCCTCAACCGCTACCTCAACGAGCCGCCCTACTGCCGCACCCTCGACCTCACCAAGGACCCCGAGCTCCGCGCCGCCAACCTCACCCTGGCTGCTGTCATCCGCAAGCTGGAGGAGCAGGGCGCCGGGCCGGTGGTGCAGAAGCAGGCCATCACCCGCGCCGACCTCCGCAAGCTCTACACGTGCAGCGTCTTCAGCACCCAGAGCCCCTTCGGGCTCCTCAACAAGGTCTGGTTTGAGACCTGCATGTACTTCTGCACCCGGGGCCGGGAGAACCAGCGGGAGCTGGAGGAGGACTCCTTTGGGCTGGCTGTGGATGAGGACGGACGCAAGTTCGTCTACTTCAAGGCGCTGGGGCCCTACCACAAGTCACGCTCATCCTCATGGAGCAAGAAGCGGGCAGAGAGCAGCGATGAGGAGAACTTGCCCCGCATGTATGAGACTGGCACAGAGTTCTGCCCCTATGCCAGCTTTGTCAAGTACCTCTCCAAACGCAACCCCCTCTGCAAAGCCTTCTTCCAGCGCCCACGGGACCACTGCAGTGAGGGTGACATAACCTGGTACGAGAACAAGGCCATTGGGAAGAACCTTCTGGGTACCCGCATGCAGATGCTCTCCAAGGCGGCCAAGCTTTCCAAGACCTACACCAACCACTGCATTGGTGCCGTCTCCATTGCCACTCTCAACAGTATTGCTGGCATTGGCACCAAGCTGGGAGGACTGCAGCCACCCCACCACCACCCCTCTCCCCACCACCACCACCTCCTCCACCCCGCTGGCGGGGGCTGCTACACCCCTTCTGCCCTCAATGGTGGACCACGGCCCCGGCCGCCCACTGCCAACCCTTATGTGCTGCCCAAAGATGGTGATGCTGCGCCAGTGAAAGCAGAAGCGGCCGCGGTGGCCCCGGCCAAGCGGGCGCTCTACGAGGCGGTGTTCCCAGCGGGGGCTGCGGCCGGCGGTGACGCATGCGGGCCCTCTGCCTCCCCCAAAAGACTCTGCCGCCGCCCCGCTGAGCCCCTGGACGCCACTGCGCCCGCCGTGGTGGTGGTCTCAGTGAAACATGACCCCTTGCCTCACCTCCTCCCCGAAGCAAATGGGCACAGAAGCACCACCTCACCCACAGTAGTTTCACCTGCTATTGTTTCCCCCACACAGGTAATCGGAAAAAGAAAAAAGAAAGGAGAAAAAAAAAAAGTGGCAACCCTTCACCCTGTCCCACGTAGTCTGCACTGTCCCCCTCCTTTCTTCCCCAAGGCTGGGCACCGATGCACACTGCCAGCCTGGGGTGGCTCCTGGAGCCACACTCACTCGTCAGGCACCCAAAGAGCCCAGATGCGAGTTATCCACCTTGTTTGCCCCTCAATTCCCTCACCCCCCCGCCACTGGTCTGGTGGCCACTCACTGCGTGCCTGGGAGTCGGGCTTGAGTGGTGCCTGGGTGCTGTCGTGCTCTCCCTCGGCGGCAGCACCGACGGCTCAGCCCTGCGGGCTCCCCATTTCCCTCCTTTTTCTTTCTTTCCCCCCCTTTTTTATTTATCTTTTTGCGGGAGATGTGAGTTCTGAAAGTCGGGCCAGAATAGTAGATAGGGTCATCAGGTATCATTAGTGTGTGTGGTGTTCTTGATGTGCTAATGAACTATTTGAATAACCTCAAATGCAGGAAACAGCCGGGAGAATACTCAATTACACACTAGTAATGAGGGTGTAATTTTAAACTTCAGAAGTTAACAAGAGGGTTAATATGACAATTGCATTCATCTTGTATTTGTTTATTTAAAATAGCTCTGTTTCCTGGCAGTGATCCTCTTCCTTTTTTTTTTCTTTTTTTTTTTTAAAGGCAAATTGGCTTTACGTTGCATTAGTTACCATAGTGGCAAAATATACAGTAAGAGCACAATTAAACAGGTTTAGGTGCAGCTTGACTGTGGAACGCACCCAAATTCAATAGGTGTGTTTCATTGAGGTAAAACGGTGTTGTCAAAAACGCTGTTGAGCTGTGCCTTAATGCGTGCCTTGCGGACCCCCCTCTGCTGTGTGCCAGCACGTGCTCGTGCCTGCCCCCCCCATCTCCCCCAAAAGTACTTTCCTCTTGGGTGTTTGAGCGCTGGAGCTAAATTACTTCAATTAAAGATTCACTGCACCTCTGCAATTGGCTTGAAGTTTGGAGGTCGTTCTAACTAAATCTATAAAGCGTATGCAGTTACGTTGTGCCCCATAAAATACCGTGTTTCAGGCAAGAACTTTACTGCTGGCTGCCTTACATGATTACAAAACCTCTCTGACATTCTTGTGTCAAGTAATAACAGGGATCGAAGCCGTCAGCCGGAGAGCGTGGCGCTGGGCAAGCACAGGTATATGACATGCCTGAGCTGTTTCCCAAGTGGAAATACCAGTTCTGGACAGACTGACCCTTTCAAAGAGTTTGCCAGCTAATCAACCAGCCCGAAGGCTAATCGGCGTGGGGGGAGGGAGGGGAGAGCAGGGCTTCCAGCGAATGCCTGCATAAGCGTCTGTGTTCTTTAAAATACCTGTGACCTCTCCTTTCTGCAGGGAGGCTTTTTTTGGACCACTTCAGTGGAGTACTGTAGCTTGATCTCCTGCTGTGTGTATCTGGTGTCTGTGGATGGCTTAGAGGCTTGATAATGTGAAGATAATGTTTTTGTTCTAGCTCATTATTTCAGGTAAAAGCTAATGCTCTTTGCTGTATTTAACCCTAGACTCCTCTTTCCCTTGCTTTTAATGACCTTGAAAGTAATTTTGAAACTTAAGGCATAGTTTAGCTCTCTAGGAGCAGCAGCGCATGTGCGTATGGGAAGGGGAAGAGGGAACTGGACAGAGCAGTTCTGATGCAGTCCGTGGTTATGGAGCATGCATGTCTTTAACCTGTTAAATGAGGTGTCTTGGTGCTTTCAGCCATCAGACTGGAGAACTGAGTCTCCACCCTGGTCCACAAATCTCTTCACACTTGCAATAAAACTTAGGTGAGGAGAAATCCAGCTGCTGTACTGTGTGTTACAAAGGTGTGCTTCCTTCGTGAAGCATTTGGAGCTGTAATTCTCATTAGCGGCAGGCTATGGGGAGAAAGGGAGAAATAACTAAAATAGACTACACAGGCATCTGCTGTTTTCTTAAGTGTATCAAGAAAGAAAATGAGCATTCGGCAAGGATACTACACAGTGTGGGGTTTTTTCAGTAATTACATAGAAACGTTCACCTCCCTTCACAATTGCATGAGCTAAACAAGATGCCCAGTCATTTTGGTAGCTGAATCTTGCCTTTGCTACAAAACTCATTAATTTAAATCTTCAGGAGAAAGAAAAGCGTTTCTTTTTATTTTTTTTTTCTTTTTAATCACCAATTCTTCTTGTGTCAATTTTAACTTATGCACTTCTGGGATGTGACAAAATGAAAAAATACTGGCTGTGGAATGGATTTCCTTGGGAGAATGTTAATGCTAAACTTTTTCTCTCTAGCTACCTTTTATAATAGTTACACTAATCGAGGTCCAGGGCATTTCCTGGGGGAATTAATGACTGGTTGGGGTTAATGGCCCAAGGCATTGCCTCAAGCCATCGACTCTCCAAACTGGTCATTAATCCCCAGGAAATTCCCTGGCCTTCATCATTATTGCTTAATTATAAACACAGAGTTTCCAGGCCTTTTTACTGAATACATCTCATCAAGTGCTATGACACTAAATTCCACTGTTAACAAATATTACTGATTCCTTAAAAACATGAAGGTCATAAGCTTGTGGTTTATTGGTTGTCTTTATAATTAGTCTTACAGGGAACAGATTCTGCTGCACTCATGGACTTGTGCAATACTCCAGTGAAAAAGTGATGGTGTGATATGTGGGTTTCTTAGCATCTTTATACTGCATGCTTATTTTTTGCATTTTTTCAATAGCATTGATAGCAGTAAGCAAGGTATGGAAAAGGTTAAACAAAAGCACTCAATGGGATGTCCTCACTTTGCACTAGCTATCTGAGCAAGACTGTTAATTTTATGTTTTTCTCTTGTAGTTGCTCCCATCTTTTGCTTTAGCCCCAAAATGTCTTTTCAACACTGGGTTTGTAGAAGCCTCTTCCAGAGCTCGAGAAAAGTACATTAAATGTTCATCTTAATGCAACTATTGCTTTAGGTTGCAGCTTTGAGAGTAGCATTTATAGTGTATTTTAAGCATGCAGCACTGTGCCATCGTGGCACAACTTTCTTTTCAGTCTTTATTTGCTCTAAGTGTAGCAATTTTCCTGCCACTGACAGCAGTACTTCAGTTCAAGTTGATGACAGAGGGATGTAATTTGGCTGTTGTTCATCTCTCATGTTGCTGAAAGATGAACAATAGCTAAAGCTTTAACTTTTGATGCTACAATATGGTGGTAGCTTTGGGGGTTTATAGATCTGGTACATGCTGAACTTACTACAGTCGTAATACCCAAAAATAGGTCAAGGGAAATAGTTTGGCCTCTGCCATGAGGGAGGAGAGTTGCCTGTCACTTTCAAATACTTTGGTTATGTTGGTTCTCTAACTTGTTTGGTTTTCTCTGGGCTGCCTGGGAAGTTTGTCAGTTATTAAGATATCTACCAAACACTGGGTTATTAAAACCTGAGCCATGTGGGTTTCTCTTGGCTGCTTTGGCAAATCCTTAAATGCTTTTTTCCCCTCCTTCTTTAAATTCAGAGCTGCCCTTTTTGCTTTCCTTTGATCTGGCACATGTCTTTTTGTTGCCTTACACTCTCTTTGAAGGGCTTACTTTGACCCGAACCAGAACCCTAGTTCTGACTTCTTTGCAAAAGGCAGAACAGTAGCACCTGATGAATATGAGTAGGCAGCAGGCACAACTGGGAACAAATCAAAAGTAGCTGGTAAGTCTAGCTCTTTTTAGTCTTGGTTTTTTGGATGTGGATAAGAATCCTTCTGCTTGATCTTTGAGCTGGGAACAACCTGCACTTCTGTTAAATGGCCACAAAAAAGACGTTCTGTACAAATATCTCTACCCAGAATCATCACTAGGTGCTTTCCCAGTATACTGGGCAGGAGAACTCATCAGACATCTTCAGGGAAGGATGCTTAGGATGGTGGTGTTAGGATGCTAGGCTTTATTTCTACAAGGGTAATACATGGAGCAATATCCCTATCTTAAGGGCTTAAAGTACAGTAGCTATTAAGACTTATGACTGCTAAATACCTTGTAAGTTCTTGTAGCAGTACTGCTGTTGATCAGGTTTCAGAGGTTAGTGCTGGCTGCCCTACTGCCTACTTAGTGCCCTTCTCTTTGATTAATGGATTATCCCAGGTTGCAAGAAAATCCAGGATTTTTTGATGTCTTTTTTAAGAGAAGTACTGAGCTTAAAATCCTAAAAACATGGGGGTTAAGGGACCTTTAACCTACATTTTAAGAAACCGTAACTACTGTGAAGGGTACTGTTTGTTACTTTGGTACTTGTGGGTTTTAAGTAAGGAGATTTGCATCTGCTACTAAGTTAGAGATGTGGAAAGTGATTAACTGTAGAAGGGACCTGTAATAGCCAATAGTCATCAAAATTGTTCTGAAATCCTTGGGAGGCAGGGGGTGGGGTAGCAGTGGTGTCAAGTATGGTCCCCAAAGATAGCTTTCTTGTCAATCTCCATAGTGAAACATGAATTATGAATCATGGCTATTGCTCTATTTGGTGGAAGTCAGTGCTGTTTGTAACTGAGTGCTTCTAAACATTGTTGAAGAGAGATAGGGTTTTTCTTTTTAAGAATATATTCTTTTTAAGGATATCCCAGGCTGTGTTCCTCATAACAAACATGAGACTTGGAAGGCATGTGAATCTTTCCAAAAATGGGTACAAGAAAAACAGAATAGAGATAAGCTTAATGATATCATATACAGCTTTGGAGGCAGTACCTACACTGAAAGGAGTGAAGGGAACTGTTTTTTCTTTCCTAGGCTGAAGTTGGTCCATTTTGAATCAGCTGTTAGAGAGGGAGTTGATTTAAGGTGACTGGGGAGAGTATTTCAGAGAAGATCCAAGAATGGTGTTTTGATACACACTCTTAGAATTGTGGCTGTGGAGTTTAGAAGTCCACTACTGTCTTTGTAGGTCCTCTTGGTTGCATTGACATATGTTGGAGGTAATAAATTGTGTAACTATTTCAGATGGTGA